CGCGGCCTCAGCAATCTTTTCCTGCGTAAATGTTTTGCAAAGTTGGTTACACACGTTTGCGCAAACATGTCCGCAGGCACACTCTCACCAAACACCAGAAGTGACAGCGGCTTCACACCCTATGCCTGAGATATATGGTGTTGTAGCCTTGGTGCCTGTGTGCCGTCTTCCAAGAGTCAGCGGGTCGCAACCGTGTTGGCCGGTCGCTAAAATAATGGGCAAGAAGCCCCATACTGTCCTTCGAACGGTTACGGCAAGCAAGAGGTGTTTGCCTGTCATCGCTTCCCTCGTATTAGGACCATGCGTCACCACGCCACGACGTTAAACCCGAGCTTCTCTCAAAGAAGCAGTAGCAAGGCAACATAACCGGAAACACGGAGAGCTGCCATCTGGTCGCGCCGGAAACGAACCGTCAAGGGAAGCCGTTTGCGCTACAGAGATAAGCGCACGGTCTTAAGAGAGCCGAAAAAGTAGTGTATAACGCATAGTGCCATCTGTCTGTTCGAACGATTGACATACGAGCTGCAGAACCTCACAGTAACGGCAAACAATACCATCTGAAATTTTGGAATTGGAGGCGACGAATGTACGCTATTCAAACTTCCCACATAGAGACCCTGCAGCTGCATGTCTTCATGCCATGCATGAAGATTTTCAACAAAAGGTTACGAACATTTGTTTTCATTGAGAGGGTCCCGCCGCTGTGGTCTAGTGGCTAAGATACTCGGGTGCTGACCCGCAGGTCGCGGGATCGAATCCCCGCTGTGGCGGCTGCATTTCCGATGGAGGCGGAAATGTTGTTGGCTCATATTTGGGTGCACGGTAAAGAACACCAGGTGGTCAAAATTTCCGGAGCCCTCCACTACGGCGTCTCTCATAATCATATGGTGGTTTTGGGACGTTCAACACCACATATATATCTTTTCATTCAGACCGCTGGAAGTCAAGTTATTACCGCTAAGACAAGCTCGCCTCCCTCAAACTCGTCTATGAAGGTGCCTTCTATATATGCTATGCTCATTGTAGTTCCTTGAACAATATAGGTTGTGTAAATTTTGTGTTAGTTATGATGGGTTTTATGGTGCAAAAGCAAAGATGGCTTAGATGCGCCAGACACTAGGTGATTTTGATAATAGGGTTAAAATTTTGTAAGAGTTTTCTCAACAGTTTCTTTTAAAAACCTGCAGCCACTTTAAAAAGAAAAACATCTTCTACGGGGATGATGGCGTTTTCTGATAGCATTAACATCAAGTGAAAAGGTATTTGTGTTCCATAGAATTCTTTAAAATAAGCCTGTCTTCTTTTTTCCGAGGCTAGGCACGTTAATAAATTATGATTGATAGTCAGAGGTTCCTTGCAATGTTCGCATTCTGGCTAATCTTCATACAGTAAAAAGTTGTGGGTTAGGTGAGTATGGCCTATCCCCAGGCGGCATAGTATTACTCCGATGAAGCGCTTCTGGCGATTGCAGGACTTCCATTCTTGTAGAAAAGGCTTCACTATTTGGAGCTTGTTATGCCACTTTAGCTTACCACTCTTCTTGCCATTTTGCCCTAAAGGCTGTCCAACATCTGTTGAAACAATCTCTTAGCGTTAACTTTATTTTTGCTATGCTTTGATGACTTGCCCTTGTTGCTACCTTGTCTGCATTTTCGTTTCCTAGGATACCAACATTACTCGGCACCCATACTAGACGAAATGTCTTGCCAGTTTTCTCAGCTATTTTTATCATCTGTGAAATATCCCCAAGAAATGGTTCGCTTTCCGACCTTGCATGTAGGGCTTTAATGCACTAAGGGAGTCGGTGTATGTGAAAGCTTTTTGCGGTTGCCAGATAAAATTTCTTCAAGAGCAACCAAAAAAGCATATACTTCTTCTGTAAAGACAGATGCAAATGGCGGCAGTTTTATGCATGTTTCTGAGTATTTTGATAGAACGGCGCTTTTTATATGTTCTTGTGTTTTTGATTTATCAGTGTAGTATTCATAATGTGTGTTATAATTTTGTTGTACGGCTAGGAAATGCTGTATAATTGTTGCCATGAAGTTTTCATTTTTCCTTAAATGAGTTCAGGCAAAGCCAGTGTACTGCGAGAAGTCCAACCATGGAGTCAGTCTTTCTGGCGTTTGGACAACGCTTAGCACCTGATTCGATACCATAAACTCTAGACACATTTCTTCAAAGCGCAGGACAAGTGGTGTCATCATGTGTGGTCTGTTGTTGTATTGCATTCTTGCAATACAACAACAGTCGTTTGTGTACATTTTTTATTGCATTCAAGAATGCAATTGTTGTATTGCATTTTTGCAATACAACAACAGTTAGTTGTGCGTAAGCTAAAAGCGATGCTGTTCCCGTGCTCGGTAACTTCTTTTTTTGTGTGGGGCCGTAAACGTGTTTCAGCTGATTTTCCCTTCTTTACCGAAAGAGATTATGGGCTTCCTGATCACCCTGCTGGTTGGAGCAGGGTCTCCCAGGTTTTTAGTGTCCGGTGGACTAGCGTCCGTAGAATCTGCAAACAAGGGTGCTCAACACTGCTGGTGCCCGGCGAAGATGCTGGCCTCCTCAAAGGAAACTGGCTACTCGAAACCTCTGTTGGGACCTTTTTTGCCTCAACATTAGTTTGGTTGTCACCAACACTGATCGAGGCTTAAGGGCCTTTCTGAAAAAAGGATCTTAGTACCTTCTATTTCCTCTTCTCTGGGGGGATGAACTGCGGCCACTAGGTTCTGGAGTTCAACCAGTGTGCCTACAAAGACAGTCGGTGGTGGCTAAGTGCCTCCTCTTTTGCACCGCTTCAGCGTATATGTGCCCTTTTGGGCAAGCACCACTCGCTTGCTTGCTTCTTGATACGGTATGTTTGGTTTTCAGTGTATGTCCTTTTCATCTTACCACTCTGGGCAGAAGCGTGATTACGCTGCATGGGGACTCTTGCAGTTCACACAGCTGAAAGCGTTGATGCACCCGCCATTATCATGGTCATTCTGGCCGCATTTCACGCCAGCTGGATTACCACGGCATGAATGAGACCCGTGCCCGAACCTCTGGCACCGGAAGCACGTGCGAAAATTAAGTATGTAGGGCCTCACACGCAGGTATAGGTACGCTACCTCAACTGCTATGGGAAAAGTCGTGCTTGCGAAGGTTAGTATTACATCCCTTGAGCGAGTTTGCTTAATATCTTTACGGATGATGATTGCTCTTGCGGCAAGTACGCCTCCACCCACGAGAGCTTCCTCAATTTCTGCGTCGGTACATTTGAGCAGTTAATTGTCGAATACTCTTCGCGTGCTATTGAGAGATCGGTGAGTTGTTACATGAACTTCATGTTAAGTTTTTTCAAGAGGTCAGACTTTGTCACTTTGTTTTTTGTTTTCCACTTTTATGAGATCTCCTAATCTCATTTTTTGCACTGTAATTGCTTCCAATGCACTCTTTGGTTGCTTTCGCAATCGGAAATAGTGATATGTCCTGAATGTTAGTCTCAGTTAAAGACTATACAACAAAAAGTTCTGTGTAATGGCTCTTTTCAGTCAACAATTTTTTGTTGGCTTCCGTACGACCCCTTTTACAGGACCGATCTTTGTGAAAAGGGGTGGGGGGTACTTTTTACCATAAAAACACATGATCATTCGGTAGCTATGCTGGCCAACCACCATAGAGTCAACAAGGGGAACGTATGCAAACAGTAGCCATTAAATCCTATTGTCCTGACCAAGGGAGGTCAGTCCCCCCAGGGTTAACCATCGCCGCAAGAAAATTCGGAAGTAAACGAAAAAGAGAAGATGACAAAACAGATACAAAGTGAGTGATAAAGACGAAGATGTAGGGAAAGAGGTAGGAAAAGGCGATTGCCGATTTCCCCTGGGTGGGTCAGCCCAGTGTTGCCGTCTACGTGAACCTGGGGCCAAATATGTGTGTTAACTTCATCGGGGGACCTCAAAGATCCAATCTCCCGGCATCAACTCAATCACCAGGATATCCTTTTCCACGGACACAATTAGGCCGCGCACGGCTAGGTGTGAGAGAAGGTTGACACCCCCCCCCCCCTGTTGGGCTTTGGTCCATGGTATTCCCAGACACCAAGCGCCTGTTTGCGCAGACGCCCCTGCAGTGGTGAAGTCTGCGGTAATCACACACATCAGCTATTTAGAGATAGCGTAAGATCTTGCGCACTGGTGTGGCACGTGGCTAACTTGAGTGCTTTAAAAGAAACAGCCTTCATGGTGGCCAGGAAAAGGGTTATTTGGCGACCACAAAGGACAGACCCTGTTCTACTGACTGGCAAATTGTTGTTGTTCGTTTACTTCCTGGAGGCGTAATGCTTGTAGCGCTTACGAGGTCGGTGCTTCACCAGGATAGTGCAGAAGAGTATGGTGCTATCTCCAGACTACCATACCTTTGTGGCTATTTCAAACCACTATCACGCGATTGGATAAATATCGGCCTATATATGCGGCTAAATGTCACTTGACAATAGATACCTAACGCCAGACCCTTCCTTACAACCCACCCATAAAAGGATTGCTCCCCCATGGATGCATGCTCCCGTAGGCTGGGCGAATGTCGACTCCTGACCTCATTGCCTCATGCCACAAACTAAGTATTGCGCTATACTTCTCACCTCAAATGTGAAATCAAATTTACGCTCCATACCTTGGTTTCTTTATCATGCTCACATATGCACTCAAAAGACCATTGTAGCGTAACAATAACATAAAATAAGTGTGTTTTCATGCGTAATCATAAGTTTTCGGTCTAAAATGTCAGTGATTTAAACATTCGTTACATCCGAACCCTCTACTTCTATTTTTCGCTGAATGTCGGGGTTAGGTGTTTGTTCGCGTCATGGCCCATTTAAAGGGGATTTTTTTCTGCAGTTTCCTCTGGATTTATGGGAAGCCGGCAATGCAGCTTACAGGTCTTTTCTCTCACTGTTTCCTAAATTGTGAAACTTAGTTTTTCGACGAGGGGACGTTGGTTAAGACCGGAGCACTCACTCGTGTAATCGAGGTCAGTCTTTTGTTCACGATGGCGTATGCTTCGAATACCCCTAGGGCGAAAGAGACGAAGTGTTGGTGAGGCAGCATGTATACGTAGCGAATGTGGTCAGCACTGCTCCTGCAACGAAAGCAAGAAAACCTTTCAGCAATACCAACTTTTAACTGCTTTCCATAACGCAAAAAACCAATGTTATTAGCACTACTTCAAGAATTAACAAAAAAATCTCTGTGCAACAAAAACCTTGAATTACTTCCCATCACGCAATGCACAATGTCCTTTTCGTGAAAATTTGTTGCTACGAGAAACAAAGAGATATGAACGACAACGATGACGATTTTGCACACAATGTTACATAGTAACCTTAGATAGATCTCCACGCTGGTTAATAGGTAGTAAATAGTTGTTAAAAGTAAGTCCGGGGTTGTAGGATGCTGCATTTATTGGTATTTTATGGCCTACTTTTGTTATTTTAAAAAAGGAACATCTCGATATCACTTCGCATATTGGGGTTATTTCGATGTAATGACCACACAATCGAGTGAGTTTGAGGGATACGATGATCCCATGTGCATTGAGCTACTGTGGGGTTGGAGCATTCATACACTCTCTGAGAGTTCGCAATAACACTGTTTTTGAAAATTCAATGCTCGGTCGCATTATTATTGCTCCCCGTGGTGGTGCCCAGGAAACTTTTCTGTGACGAAACAGCGCCGATGGGCGTTAAACGCAGGCCAAACATAAACGTGAAAAGCGATTTTTCAAAGGTCTGCCAACATAGTCGCGCCGACGCAGCAAATACATAATTACGAGCATAAAAGGATGTGGGGTGAAAAGAAGGAATGCGGGACCACGCTAGTTACTCGTTCTGGTTTTTGCCTCCTCTTGCGCTTAATACCAAAACATCTCTAGCCCGCAAGAGAGATGCGCTTGACGATACACTGGCTTCCTATTTCGGGTCCGCGTAGAGGCAACCATTGACGTTGGCCTGTCTATTGTCTAAGCTTTGAAGGCCAATAATGCGGCCCCAAACCTGAGGCGGAGCAAGGCCCGACAGTAGCCAGAGGAAGCTGGTCGACCATGTTAACGTGGGAACGGAGAAAACCTTATGGTTGGGCCAAAATAACAATGTACAATGCGAAAAGGTGTGGATGTGTTAAGAGAACGCAGAAAAAAGAAACCATGCAGGGTATAGCAATTGCAAAAGCTTCCAAAACTAAAGCAGAATAGACAAATATTGAGATCTTTCTTCCCGGAAACAAGGGGCAGGCGAAGCTTGTCAAATCCTGTGAAGCCGGGCACTAGTCTCATGTCAAACCAATGCAAAGCACACCTATGTAACAACATCGAGTATTCCACCGCTCTCCTCCCCCAGTCATTGTTCTCCCGCTGAGCTTGATGCGAAGGCAAATGCGTGGCATTTGTGTTTTGTGCCTCCTTCTTTTCTCGCTCGTTGACGCTCTTCTCTTCTTTCGCTGAGCTCATGAAGAAAGAGATATACAGAGAAGAGGCCGTTACGTCACGTTTTCGGAAGTCGGAAGTGAATGAGTCCTCCTCACAAAGGTTGTTGTTAGTGGTTCATGAGGAAAAGGAAGAAGGCACCTAATTTCTGTCTGCCTACAGGCGACACGGCGCAGTGCCTTTGGGGTGGGGTAGAGGGGGATGAAAGAGGATAGGAGAAATAGTGTGTGGTGTGTAGGAGGGATGTCCGGTCTGCTTCAGCGCGAGCAGCAGGCCGTCGGCAAGGGCAGCAGGGCTCCTGGGGTCAGCGGTAGGCAGCAATTCCTGACTCCTCCACGAACTCCGCCAGGCTGCGGAGTGCTGCTGGATGTGGATGAGACGGGAACAGCAGGTTTTCCAGGGTGGAGACGGGCAGACCCTGTCTCCTGTAGGCCGCGTAGGCCCTCAAGCGTTCCTGTGCTAAGCCAGGGCAGGCACAGAGGAGGTGTTCGATGGTCTCTGGGTCTCCGCAACGACTGCAGGCCGGGGAGGGGCAGAGTCCCTTGGCGTGGCGGCGGGCCGCCGTCCACACGCAGCCAGTCCGCAGTCGCAACAGGGAGGCCCGTTCTCTCCTGGTGAGGCCCGTCTCTGGGAGAGGCTTTGGTCCTCGCCCGCTGGCCACCCTCGGGTCTGGGTGGACTGTGATGAGGAGCCTCTTGAGACGGGTCACAAAGGTGGGCCCGCCCGCTACAGCAGCTCGCGCATGTGCAACGGGCGCCAGCGAGAGAAGGCGAGCAGCGCGAGCATGGTACTCCCGACGTGCCGGGCGGCACCGCTGGCGTCATCTGATAAACGAGCTGGGAAAGCGAAACGGTTGGGCTGACCATGAGCGAACGTGCTGCAATACTCGCTTGTATGGAGTCTGCGTACCATTCGCAGCCAAATTGCGGTTCATATTGTTACTCTACAATGGATTTTGCGCTTTGCACTTCGTGTTTAAACGGCAGAGTTAAATAGAGCAACAGCGCAAATTGGCCCGAAAAATCGCCAAGACAGGCTGTCTCCTTCTGCAGATGCGGTAAGTTCGGGGTACGGAACATAATTAAAAAGTGAATTGTTATTTATTTGTCTCGCTATTTCTTCAGATGAAGCACCTCAGAGTCATTCTTTCCCTTGTGTGTCACGATGCGTGTGCACGAGTATCGTTCGCAGCAGCGTAAGTCGGCCGACTGCGACCGTCTGGAGGAAAAAAAACATGATCAAAGATGAGGTTACCACGCAGAAAATGCGAACAGAAATCAATATTTCAAACAATACATCTCCTCACTGTGTCAAGAACATTTAACCTCAATATTCAGAAACGCTCCTCGACTCGACTTTCACCCTTCACTTGTCAGAGTTGAGCACTGTGCCACAGCTCCGCTTAAAAACGACGCTGTGCTACTCAAGAATCGCAGCAGATTATCGCTGATATGCAGTGACTTTCCGTGCCTAGAGACAGCGCTCTAATCGACTTTCTGAAGTGAAGGTGAAGCGTTGAGTGAAGGGATGTTTTATAATACGGGGGTAAACTGATCTTAAACTGGTTTCGTCTTACAGCGCGCACGCAAACTTTCTTCCTCTGAGCTTTTCCACAATTGCTTCCGTATTTCTCTAACTCCTTCAGAAAAGTCTTCAGACAGAGACAATGTGCTTCCTTTTAATTTAAATGCACTCGACAAAACGTTAGTCTCTTCCCGGTAGTCATGAAACTTTATGATCACTGGTGGTGGCCCGTGCTTTAGTTTTTTGCCAAACCTGTGACCTCTTTCAATGCCCGTTACCGTTATTTCTAACTTCTGCTGAAAAATATCTTTCTCTACTTTTGCTTTCAGGTCCTCATACTTTTCGTCATGGGGCTCTTCTAAGCCGCAAATGATTAAGTTATTTCTGCGGCTTCTATTCTCAAGGTCATCTACTTTGTCAGTAAGCGTTGATACCTGCTTTTCAAGCTTTGATGTTGATACCTTCATATTCTTAACGTCAGTGGACAAGTTCATTCAATTCTTATTCGAGGCGGTCTATACGAGCAGATAAACCTGACCTTCTTTTTTCAATCTTTACTTGCGATTCCCGAACGTGTTCAACGACACAAGTAAGCTTCTTTTGTTCTTCCAACAGTTCCTTCAACATATCTTCGTTAGGAGGCTCTGGTTTTACTTCAATATCCCCACATGCCAAAAGATCCCTTGATAACAGAACAACATTGTCAAGAAAGCACGTCACGTCATGTCATGTCACTGCGTGCTGCGACGTCACGCGGCACGCAGCTCGTCGATTGGCTTAAACCAGATCTCAATAAGGAGTAACGAAGTCAACGTCGTTGATCGCCAAGTTGACGTCACTGCGCGTATGAGGAGGTTGGTCACGCGCAGGCATATGCGCGAGCTTTTCCTGCGTGTTTCGGAGCCTGTTGACTGGCCCTTTAAAAATACTAAATGTAAACTGTAGGAGCGTTCCTGATGAGGCCACAAAATTAGAGGCTATAATACTTTCTCAAGATCCTGCTATTGATGTCTTGACAGAAACGTGGCTAAGCGACTCGGTTTTTGATAGTGAATTTGTTCCGTCTGGCTGCAGCGCAAACAGAAATGACCGAACTAGTAAAGGCAGTGGCGTTTGTGTACTTTTCAAGTAAGACCTCAAAATGTGTAGAATAGCAGATATGGCAGGAGTAGAAGGTATTTTTTGTAAGGTTTATCACAATGATGTCTGTTACACTATTGGAGGTGTTTATAGGCCTCCAAATCTCCTGTTGACGTAGTGAATGACTCGAAGAATTATTTGAAACTGAATATTAAGCATGATGATTAGATTATAATGGCAGGTGATTATAATTTACCTAATGTAAATTGGAAAAAGTTTTCCCTGAAGCAGTGCGACACTTCGGTTGAAGCTATGCTTGATACTTGCTACAGTTTTGACCTCCTTCAGCTAGTTGAAGGCTAAACAGGAATTCAAGGGACCGCTCAGTCAAGCCAAGACTTTTCTTCGTTAACCAGGCAATTACACCTAAAGCAACGACTGAGATATATCCTGGAATTTCTGATCATCACGCAGTGCTATTTACTCTAAGTGACACAGTTTTTGATAACACATTACCCTCTTTATCTTTCTCTAATTTCGATCATGCAGATGATACTGCTATTATGGATCTCCATTCATTCAACTTTGATAACTTTGCGAGTAATGAAACTTATATACATAATTTATGTGACTGGTTTAAGGACATTGCCAAGGAATTAATTGAATCATTCGTCCCCATGGTAATTGAAATATCGAAGCGAGAAAATCTTTGAATTTCTCCGATAACACTGAGTTTAAGAAGACAAATAAAGCGTGTAAAAAAAGCGAAGTATAAACGAAGAGTAGTCACAAAAAAATACCAAGCTTTCAGTAAGTCTGAAAAATCCAATTCAAGCAGATAAGCTGCGTTTGGGGGGAGGAGGGGGATCTTTGCCGACTTACTGCACTTCCTGTCCCGAGAAATTTTGGAGGAGAATTTTGCCCGCGTCGAAAGAGTGTGACTTCTTAAAGTCGGTGGTATTCTCTCGCACGATAATGCTCGAATCGCAAATGTTTTCAGCGATCACTTCAAATCGGTTTTTTCTTGTGACAACTCTGTATTACCGATCTTTCAA